AAGGTAATTATATTTTTCCAAATAAAAATTTTTTGATTGAAAATATTTGCAATTATCCAATGATGAGATTCTTAGAAATTTTCAATGGTAAATTCTTAAAAAATCTTTTGGTGAAAAACTTCTTTAAATTTGTCTCAAATGGTAAAAGAATTTAAATAAAATTTCAATGAAAATAATTGTATATTATTTTATTTTCAAAGATAAAAAACAAAAAAAATTTCTAAATAGATCCAAATGGTGAAAATTTTAAAAATTAAAAAAAGAATATATTTTAATTTGGCCTAAATGGTAGAATAATTAGATATATTTTCAACAAAAATCAAAATAAAAAAATAATAAAATCTTTTTTCGATGATAGAGCCTTTTCAAGAAAACAAATGGGATTTCGGATACTCTTAAGGTGAGGACATAATTTTTAAGAAATCTAATGGAGAATCTTAAAAGTTATTTCAATATTCAACATTAAAATTTAAAATCATAAGAATTAAAAGATTAGGATAATTTAAAAAAAAATGGTACTATCTTTTGGATAGGCATGTAAGGGTGCTATAACATTCCTTATATGTAACAGAACTTTCAAATCTCATTCTGATTAGTAGACCTGAACCTATTCTTTCAGAGCTTTTGGTCAAGCTTAGAAATTCTTTAAAAGGATAGATTCATTAGGTAGCCAATCACACCTAGTAAAAAATATTGGTGTTGACTTCATTTATTGGGTCTAGCTATAGATTTACAAATCTATATGTTATAATAGTTTGGCAACTCCACTGGGCACACTATAGAGAGTCAAGCCATAAGATTTTAAACTTATCCTATCTTTGATCTAATGGTTTTAAATTGTAATTATTTATTTACTAACATTTTCCTTTTTTGTTTCTTATTTGATTTATGGGGTTGATAATTATATGTTCCTTCACACATACTATCACATGTATTTGTATTACATGAGATTTATACCTAGGCTTTGTCCATTTTAAGAAGGAGTAAAGTACCTATACTCTCGTAAGATGATAATTACCACAATAGCTAGCAAAATACTCCAACTCAAATTGAATCCTTTTCATTGGTAGCCTGTGATGGGTGAAGATTGGATTGCCTTACTAGCCTATGATGGATAATGATGTAAAGAACAATTTAGGAACCTTTAGTGGCCAATGTTACTTAATCCAGCATATAATCTACATTTAAGAGGTCAGCCTTAAGATAGAGCCATTCCTACCTATTGATAGATGTAACTTAAAGAATAAGACACAAGGAGGATATAGGGAATATTTACCACATATCAGTCATTTATAAGTCAAATCTCATACCTACATCCATGAAAAGTCAAATGTAATCAAAGTCTACATCAATCCATTATGAATTTCCACATCCATTGAAAATCAAGTTAAAGGAAAGGGTAAAAAAAATAAGGAAATTGCTTGCCTGAGGGTTTTATCTCATTATTACCTAAGAGAATTCATCTTGATCTCTAACAAAATGACTTGGTTGACTTAAGTAATGTTTGGGAATGCATGAGTAAAACAAGACAAGAGGTGTTTGAGAGTAAATATGGAGACATAACTTCATTGCTTCAAGTAAATATGGATAATAATCTGATTAGAGCCATCTTTCAGTTTTAAGATCCTTCTTATAGGTGTTTCGTCTTTAATGAAGCAAACATGATGCCCACAATTGAAGAGTATATGGTCCTATTTCACTTTGATTTGCCAAATTTGGATAAGATTCACAGTGATAGACTTTGCCAACCAATTAGAATACAAAGTCAATACAATTTTAACCATTTTAGCAGAAACCATTCATTCTTTAAATTTTTATCGCAGAAATGGTAAAGGTCGATTTAATAGGTACTTACAATTGCTTTATGTATGGATGAAAAGTCACATTGAGTGTGAAGAAAGCCAATTTCGTAAACCATACCTATATTCCAACATTATAATCAAGGAGTTTTTTTGTAGCACGTGGCTTAAAGTAAGGTCAAAAGAAGAATGGATACTTTTGGGCCCTTAATAGCCAAGGAATAATTAGGAGAGCACCTTGGGTTTCATAGAAGTGAAGAGAAAACCTTAGCCTAATTAATTAAACAACCCTAGAGGTTTCCCCATCAAAGGCTAACTAAGCCAAAGGCCTACAAAACCACCAAACCACATTGACCTAATAAAATGTGTAAAACCCACACTTAGGTGATCGCATCAATGTTGTTAATTTCGTTTCGTTACAGGTTGTACCAATCGAAATGCTCCAATTTTACCAAAACATGATACATCTAAAGGTTATTTTTTATACCAAATTAGGTACCGAGTAATACCGATTGTTTTCGTCAGTTTTAACTAATTTAGGTGGATTAGCTTGTTTCAACCGGTTACGTAAATGTGACACATGTTTTACTATTTTTAGGTTGTCTTTTATTGTTTAACTATTTTTAACCTAATAAAAATAAAACTAATTAACAAAATAATTCTTGAAAGTTGAGTTTTTCTATTTTTAATTATAACTTGTTTTCTTTATATTTTATTTTTTCAAACCAAACTTTATAAGTATTTCAATTTCTTTTAAAAGGTAATTGTGCTCCCTCTCTAAAGTTTAATAATCATAAAATCAAAGTTATTTTTTTTATTTCTTTGTTTTTTTTTAATATTTATATTAAAAAAGAAAAATACTCATTTAAATAATATATGGTTAGATTAAATGTTTAAAAATTTTATGATATTATTTTTTATAATTTTAAACTTATTTATTTGGTTTTTAAAAATATTGCATATTTATTTTGTAGATTAATAGTAGTATTATTATGTACAAGTTCATATATATATATATATATATTTATAAATATATTTATACTAAATCAAATAATTCAAAATAATAGACTGAAATAACTAATATCGATATATATCATTTTTTTAAAGAAAACTGAAATGTTGTCTGATATAGTATTGAAAACCTTGGATCACATTAAATTATTTAGACTCCCATACTTATGTTATATTATGATTAAATTTATCAATATATTTTATTAGATTATTAAAATCATCAATTAATAGTAACTCACCTACAAAAAATTCTAATAATAAAATAAAAAATATGTATAAACTTTTTATCAACAAAAATGATATTTTTATTCATTATATTTTTAAATTGTTTTTTTATTGATTATAATTTTTAAGTATAATTATAATTAATTGTAAAAAAAATTTATCTCATCTATAGATAACAATTCCAATTCCCTTTGAATCACTTTTATTAATTAGAAAAACTTAGCTTAGAATTTTTTTTATTCATTATATTTCCAAAATTGTAACCATATTATGTTAAAAAATAAAAAAAAATTATAATGAAAATGAAATTTAATTGCAATTATAAAAATCATTTGTTTATAGTTATTATTAACTTATTGTCAAATGATGTGTGTGTGTGTGTGTGTGTGTGTGTGTGTGTGTGTGTATATATTAAATCCACCATCCAATAAAATTTATCAATCTAATAATCAATAAAAGAAAATTAAAAATAACAAAAATGTAAAAAAAAAAAAAACAATATATGGGTTTTCGTTAAAAAAAAGAAGGAGAAAACTAGGGGGTTGATTGCACAAAAAAATAGTATAATGACTTAAATGTGCATCTTAAAATAATTCAAAGGTTAATTTGTTTGTTATCACACTTAAATTTATTGGGTCGTATCCTAATTAATATATTGAATTTACAATTAATGTCAGAAGAGTAACTTACCTAGTTAATTTATCTTGGGTGGATAATTTACCAATTTGATTAGAGACTAGAAATTATTAAAAAAAAAAAAAAAACTATATATAACAGATATATTGTACGATATGTGACTTAACAGCGTTTGCGCATAATCGATGATGTTTTCCAGGTCCAACAGGAGATTCTTTGTGAACAATTTTTCTTCCAATCTCTTTTAGCAACTCATGTATCTACAATTTGTCTCCAACATTCTGAAAGTAGTAACAACCGACCAGAATTTTTGTTACCAAATTTTTGTCCTCCCCTTTGAAGGGGCAAGCAGTATTTAAAAATATGTTCATCTCCGTTTCTTCTAATCCATCAAAGCTTACTTGAAGTCTGTCTATAATTTCTTCCTTAGAATCATTTTGAAGTCTTTCTATTGCACTTGTCCATTGAGAAGCATCTCTCCCAGCAAGAAAAGAACCAAAAACTTCAAGAGCTAATGGAAGGCCATCTGCATATTCTACAACACGTTTTGAAAGCTCGACCAAATCTTTTTCGGGTGTATCACTTTCCAAAGCTTCCAAACTGAATAGGTGAAGTGCTTCGTTGGCATTCAATGTCGTCGGCTTATACACATCATCCACTCCATAGGCTTGAAGCAAATGCTCATATCTTGTTGTTATAATGATTCTGCTTCCTAAACCAAACCAATCACGCTTTCCAACCAAACATTTTAAGTGTTGGAAGTTATCCATATCACAATAAGAACCTTGTTATGAGATAACCTATGACTTATCATGTCATTTCCTTCATCAACATCAAAAAAGTTAAAATCTTCCTCCAACAAAATCTGACAAAGAAGCTGTTTTTGTAAACAAACAAGTCCCATCTTTCTCCGCCAATTCCCGAACACCTGCTAGAGAGCTTTTACGTTCAAAATGACTTGAAATTGGGGTATAAACAAATCTTGCAAGTGTTGTTTTACCAATTCCTTCCAAACCACAAATCCCTATAATACAAACACAATCATCTTCATCATCCCTTACGTTTATTTTGCAAAGCAGTGTTTTCAAACGTGATTCAATTCCAATCATGTCAGAATTAGAAGCACTTGAAAATTGTTGACGTAATTTTGTTGCTATCTTTTTAACGATATCTCCAATAAATTCTGATTCATGCCTACAATACAAAAAGCGAAGCAATTTAGTTACTGAGAGATAGCTTAATGAAAATAACTGCAGCTTCACATAAAAGAAGAAAGGAGTCTAATGCTGAATGCTGATCATTCTTTAAGTGAAAGAATAAGATGGATACCTGTTATTTAAGTGCCATCCCGTCATGTTAGCCACTTCAGTTAAAACGGTTCGCCACCTTACTGCTTCCTCTTTAAATTTTTCTCCATGCTTAGCAAAAGCTTCTTCAACTTTCCCTTTCTGTCCTCGTAGCTCAGATGGATCCACATCATTGAAAATTGGGAATACTTTGTGTCCCCTCTCGTTTTTTTGTTTAATAATTTCGAAAAGCTCTTCCAGACACAATCTGGAAGAAGAATATCTTTCCGAGAAAACGATTATTGAGGACCATGATTCTTGAATTGCTTTAAAGAGCTCTGGTGCGATGGCTTCACCTACCTCAAGGTTTTCATCATCTCTGAAAGTGATGATTCCTTTACTTTTTAAAGCAGAACATAGATGATCTGTGAAGTTCTTTCGTATATCCTCACCTCTAAAACTCAAGAAAACGTCATATTTCCTTCCAGAAATAGAAGAAGATGATGAGAAGGATGAGGAAGATATCTCATTGTCGAATCTAACCATTGGAGTTATGATTACGGTAGCTTTCTTCTACAGATCTCAAACTAACAAGATTCAAATAGAGGATGGGTCGCGGTATAGACGCTGCTATTTCACGGTAACGGCACCCACCAAAACCGTTATTCACCGCAAATAAGCTGCGAGAGGCGATTCACGCATATAACGGAGCTTCAGGGCCGCAAATAGCAGCATCAACAGACCACTGTAGCAGTTATTGAGTTCAGCTGCCTATGTTATATGTATTTTTTTTTATCAAATTAAAAGGACAATCATACCGAAACAAAGACAAAAACCCATACAATACCAAAAAAATCTAACATGAACAACTTCATGCTTCAATTTATAGGTAAAAGAAGGAATTAATTTAACAAAATTCACAAAATATTTACCTAAAACTACCTTGTTTCATATTTTGGAAATTTTAAGTTGTAGTTCGTGTGGGCTGTGGAGATAGTGCTCTTTTATAGCTTCCCTGACCCTATCAATTGCAGCAGTGGTGTGGGTTCTTGCTTTCGTATATCTTGAGAGAGATGAGACGAGACTTCTAGTAAAAAATTAATTAAGCAGAGGGTGTGGGTGTTGCATGGGGGGGTTCACTGGGCTGAGTTGTGGGTTGTTCTACGAGGAATGAGAAATTGAAAGGGCCTCTTGGAAGTTTGATAGGGAAGAAAAGGGAATTGAGGCATGGAAGACTGGAGGGAGTGATCAGAAAAGAAACAGAGGAGATTATATGAGAAAATATTTGTTTTTTCAAATTTTTGGTTAACGGAGGATGAACCTCTGGCGTAATGGTAGCATGTCTTACCCTAGTTCAAAAATCAAAAGGTTGCCGATTCGGTTATGGTTACTTTTTCAAAAAAGAAAATATAAGTGCATGAACGTGAAACGATTTGTTCATCCAATTCAAAAAAAAAAATTTTTGAGAGGGAAAGGTTTGGAGGGATATGAATTTGAGGAAATTTTTGAATGATTTAGATTGAAATTGAGAGGTATGGCAAATGATCAATAGTAAATTTATTTTTGCAAGTGTTTTTTCATCTATCAGTATTATTTAAGGAATAATTAATTTTGCATTAAAAGTTTGTACATTTTTTATGTTTGATTAAAGTTAGGTTGATAATTATTAATTTAATTTGTTAATTAACAAAATAAAATTTTCATCCATTGTCATAACATATAAGTCCGTAAATCTATAATTAAATTTAACAAATGAATGAAGTCGCCATCAATCTTTTTTATCTAGGTGTGATTGGTCATCTAAAGAACATATCATTTTAAGGAGCTCTTAAGCTTGACTAATAGTCTTTAAAAGAATAGGTTCAGGTCTACTAACTATAATATGATTTGAAAGTTCGGTTACATGTGGAGAAGATTATAGCACCCTTACATGCCCATCCAAAGAATGGTACCATATTATTTTAAATTTATCCTAAGATCTAGATCTAATGGTTTTAAAATTTAATGTTAAATATTAGAAATAATTCATAAGATTCTTTCATCAATCTGGTTGCATTCTTAAAAATATTTTCTTACCTCAAAAGTATTCAAAAATCTCATTTGATTTCTTGAAGAAGCTCCGTCGTTAGAAAAAGATTTAATTATTTTTATTCTTTATTTTTTATTGAAAATATATCTAATTATTTCACTATTTGGGTCAAATTAAAAATATTTTTTTAAATTTTTAAATTCTCCATTATTTGGGCTTATTTAGAAATTTTCTTTATTTTCTTTATTTTTTTCATTTTTTTGTTGGATATCTAAATTTTTCACAATTTGGGTCAATTTAGAATTATTTTTTTTTTGTTTTTGGAAAGAAAATAATATGACAATTATTTTTTATTAAAATTTCATTTAAATTCTTCCACCATTTGAGACAAATTTAAAAAATTTCTCACCTAGAGATTTTTTTAAAAAACTTATCATTTGAAATTTTTAAGAATCTCATCATTGGATAATTATCAAATATTTTCAACCAAAATTTTTTATTTTTTTATTTTTTTTGTGTTTGAAAATAAATATTAATTATTGTTATTGAAACTTTATCTAAATTATTCCATCATTTGAGACAAATTTAGAGAAAATTTTACACCTAAGAATTTTATAGGAATTTACTATTTGAAATTTCTATAAATTCCATCATTGGATAATTAATATTTATTTTCAAAAAATTTTTTTATTTACTTTTTTTTAAATTTAATCATGCAAAAATACTAAAAAAATAAAGACATAAAAATAAATAAAAAAAATAAAAAAATGGCTCGGCTTACAACTGCAGAACAGCTTGGCTTCAGGCATAAAAGGTGGCTTGAAGGCACGGCTCGGGGAATGCAGCTCGACTCGACTCGGTTGAAGGATTGGCTAGAACACGGGTCGACTAAGCTGGTTGCGATTAGGTCGGGTTAGCCCACTGGTAAAACGCGCGGATCTTAAGGCTTTATTAAACTTCAAAATGATGTCATTTTAGCAAGGTATATAAGGCAAAATCTCAACCTTTTCAACAGATCGCCCCTTCTTCCTTTTCTCTCTTCTTCCCTTTTTCTCTCATTCTCTCTCTAGCGAACCCAGAATCCGATTGAATATTCTATCGAAAACTGGAAAAAGCTGCCAGAAACTAGGAAAATACTTCGAAAAGTTCAAGTTTCATTGGAAAAGTTTGTCGAATCTGAAATTTCCAAAAAAATTCCCAAAAAACAAAAATTACCAAAAATTCCTAAAATTTCTAAAATTTGCTTATGCTCATCTAAACACTTTTTTTTTTTTTTTTGTTTCTGTTTTCTTTGTCCAGGATTATATTTATAGTGCAAACAAAACAAGAGAATTTTCGTTTGATTATGAGTACACAATTTGATGGGATTTCACATATCCCATACTGATTAAGTCCATCCAGGACTCTGCCACCAATCAGTAGAACATTCTATTTTTTTTAATCATTATCTCCTATAATAATAATAAAAAATAATTAATTAAAATAAAATAATAAAAAATTAGGTCAATTTGCCCCATTTGGACCAGGCCCAATTGATTTGGACCTGAACTGAATTAGGTGTCTACATCTATTATTTTTTATAATTAAATTAGTTTATGAGTTTCATATGCTTGAGAAAAGAAAAGCTTAATTTCATAATAGTCATGTTTTAAAAATTCATGGATATCTTGTTGACTATTTTTGGATCAGTTAGCATACCATTAAAATTGATATTTAGAGATTATAGGTTCAAAAGAGTTTAAGTGCTAATGTTCTCTTCAATCAAATATGTAATAAGATAGAGATTTAAAGGTAGATTAAAATTTTTTAAAAAAATTCATAGATATCTTATTGAACTACTTTTAAATATGCGTATGAAATATTGACAATAATATAAAAATATTAATAATTGATTTTATCATATAAAAATGAAATTAAAATGTCTTAAACTCTTTTAAATAATATAAAATATGACATTTTGTAGTTAAAATTATTATTTATTTCATTGTGATTGGATGGGAAATCAGAATAAATATGATTACTATTACTTATCAAGTTTGTTTACAATAAGATCATAATTTATCGATCTTATTTTAAAGTCATGAGATATCATGATATCTAATGATAAATTGTAAAAATAATATAATTAAAAAAAAGGAAAAAAATGGAAGAATAAGTTAATAGATAAGCATTAAAAAACGTATACATAATTTTATTTAATTTATTAATTTAACAAATAAAAAATTATATATTTTTCAATTTTATAATATCAATTCATTTTACGAAATCAACTTAATTAATTATGTTTAATAATATATTTTTATACATTTTTTATCATTACATTTAGAATTATTAAAACTTTTTTTTTAGAACAAGATATTTTAAACTCATTTTACATATAATGATATGATTTTTTTTATTTTTTTATATTACCAATTTTTTATTTAGTATCTTTTAATTTAAAAATATCAATTCTTCTATATCGTCAAGTTAATTATTTATTTTAATTTTTTGTTATGCTTATTCTTACTTTCTGTTTTGTTGATAATTATCATAACTCATTTTTAAGGTATTACGACTTCAAATTATATCAATTTTATGATTATTTTCACTTTTTTAACTTTTTTACACTAACACTTATTTTTCTATTTGGAATACTTTTTATTTATAATAATAATTTTTACGTTACCAATTTAATTATTTACACTATAATAATATATTTTTACACATGTTCTTATCTTTTATTACATTTAAAATTATCACAACTTTTTTCTTAAAATGTTATGATACTTTTAATACACTTTATGCCAAATGATATAAATTTTATGATTATTCTCACATTTTTACTTAAACACTTATTTTTTGATTGAATTATTTTTTATTTATAATAATAAATGTTTTATATTGTTAACTTAATTATTTACATTAATATAATATTTTTTATGCTTGTTCTTATATTGCATTATATTTAGAATTATCACAATTCTTCGTTAGAGTGTTATGATAGTTCTAACTTATTTTACATTAAATGATATTAACTTTACAACTATTCTCATTTTTTAATGTTACGATATTTTTAACATATTTTATATTAAATTATATCAATTTTATAATTATTCTCACGTTTTCATGTTAATACTTATTTTTAGGTTTAGAATTATTTTTTATTTATAATAATAATTTTTTATGTTATCGATTTAGTTATTTATGTTACAATGAAATCTATTATGCTTGTTCTTACATTTTATTGTATTTAGAATTATCATAATTTTTTCTTAAGTATTACAACACTTTAAACTTATTTTATACCAAAGTATACCAATTTTATGATTATTTTCATCTTTTTACTTTAACACTTATTTTTTGATTTAGAATTATTTATATTTAAATTACTTTTTTTTTGCGTTATAAATTTATTACATTTCAATAATATTTTCTTGCATTTGTTGTTAATTTTAATTATGTTTAAAATTATTAAAATATTTTTTTATTAAGGTGTAACGATATTTCTATTTTACATAAAATAATATCAATTTTACGATTATTCTCACTATTTTTT